GTTTTTCTGAGCCTTTCTGTTGGAGAGGTGAGGATGCTCACGAAAGAGGACACCAGAGCTGCTTGGCGAGGGGCAAGAGCGAGATGAGTGTGTTTGAAGCTCAGGGGATGATGCAGGGGGGGTCGTGGCAAAATGTCTTTTACTACAATTAAAAAAATGTAAACACACCATATCCTTTGACCAACCTGTATCTATTGTATATTTTACATATATCGCACTATGCGTTAATCATGTGGCTCAGGGAAGACCAGTGGGAAAGGGAGAGTAGACCCAAGCAGGAGAGGTTTCCTTCCTCCCCAACACCCCTTAGTGTCAATCCTGGGCCATCCTGTGGCCTCATCCCCGCGTGTCTCGTGTGCTCATGTGGCACGGTGGCTGTATCCATCCGGCCACCAGCTGCTCTCAGACCTTCCGGCTGCCTCTCGGGCATCTGCTGCACAGGCCGGATCTCAGCCCTGTGGGAGCCTGGGTGGGACCCAGGCAGCGTGGAGGAGCCGGGGCCGCTGGTCAGCTGTGCGGGTGAGTAGCAGTGTCCTTTATGCCTGCCCATGTGGTGACAGTGCTGTGTTTCCAGGTTTTTGGATCCACTGTCCACAGCCTGGGCTCTGAACGGCATCTCAAGTACGTCGAGAAGGTCCTGAACATGGAGGTAGTGCGGGCGTCGTGAGCAGAAGGGTCGGCTCACCCTTCCGTCCCCGCAGAGTGTGTGGGAAGGGTGTTGGCCAGGAGGGTCCCCAGGACCTAGAGAGCTCACTGTCCCCTGGACTACCTGCCGCCTCGTGTGCGGGGGTGGCGCCCAGCGTGATGGGTGGCACAGGAAGTTGGCCTGGGTGGGAGGGGCTGCGGTGCAGGTTGTGGCTGGGCTCCGGTGGATGGTGGGAGCTGCCCTGGGACCCCTCACTGCTTGTGGTTTCGTGTTCCTGCATCTAGATCTTCGGTTGTTTCGCTCTAACTGAACTGAGTCACGGGAGCAACACCCAGGCTATCCGAACAACCGCTCACTATGACCCCACCACGGAGGTAGGTGCCGCCTTCTCTGGATGGGCCCTGGGTGGGAGCAAATGGAATGCCGCGAGCCAGGTGGTTAAGGACTGAGAAGCCTGAACGCACATGTGTTGCTTGTAAGAGAGGTTCTGGAGCTGGGCATGGTGACATAGGCCTGTGACCCCGGCAGGGAGGCTGAGGCAGGAGAATTGCCATGAGTCTGAGGTTAGATTGGTCTACATAATGAGTTCAAGGCCAGCCTGGACTACACAGCCATACCTTGTCTCAAAAAAACAAGAAAAAGAGAGAAAGGAATTCTGAGACCATGGGTCATGCTAGGGAGTGGGAGTCCATGCCTTCTGTGAATTTTGTGTGGGACGGGAACGTGGGGAGGTTCGTACCATGGGTGGCCTCACCAGAGCAGGGACCCCAGCTGCTGTGGGGCCCAGGCCCTGCCTACACAGGCTGAGGGGAGCTGCCACAGCACAGAGGTCCTGTCTAAATCCAGGTCTGTCCGGCTCCAGGGCCCTTCCCTTCCCACAGTGCTCACAGCCCCACAGTCCCTGGGCAGAGGCTCAGGCTGACCAGCGGGCAGAGGGCGGTGCCCCATGCGCCTGACCACAGGGCCAGGTAATCCCGGGTCTCCGATTGCTGTCATTTCACCAGCCTCCTCCCAACACCTGGTCCCCAAGTGAAGATCAGAGGGACATCAGAGGGGCCGACTCAGAGCTGCTGGGCACCGGGCTGCAGATGCCTCTGGGTCCCTGTGGTGTGGACGTGGCCCTGAGCCCAGGTAGAGAGCGGGAGCCCAGGGCTCTGCTGCTGTGGTGGAAACAGAACCGGGCAGGTCTTCTGTTTAAAGGGCGCAGTGGAAAAGGTAGAAGAAAAAGCGCTCTGCAGGGACAGCCTGTCTGCAATGTTGGGCGACAGCAGGTGCCATCTGGGCTTATTTTCCAGCAGTCTGTGTGTTTAGTGCAGGTTTTATTGCTTGGAAATCTGTCACCGTTTCCTGGGTAAGGCTCCTCTGTAAGTCTGGGGGCCGGAATACGCTCTGCTTGAAAACAAGGCCCCGTGTGGCCCAGGGAAGAATAGGCGCAGGCCCTCTGGCCTCCGGGACTTGAGCCCCGAACACTGGGTCTTTCTGGAAGGGAAACGGGCACCCTTCTAGCCCTGTCCCCCTTGGCCCGCAGGAGTTCATCATACATTCCCCTGATTTCGAAGCTGCCAAGTTCTGGGTGGGCAACATGGGCAAGACGGCGACCCACGCGGTGGTGTTTGCACAGCTGTACACGCCAGATGGCCAGTGCCACGGGCTGCACTCCTTCGTGGTACAGGTACACGGGGACAGTCACCCGAGGCCATGTGTGGTATCGCTGATCGCGGATTTGTACCCAGAGCGGACTCTGTGGAGATGTGGAGCTGAGCAGAACTCAGCTTTCTTTCAGAGCACGTGTCTTAGTCCCTTTCTCATTGCTCAGACACAGTAGCCAGCACTCACGAATTAACACAGGAGAGGTTTCTTTGGCTCACAGTTTGCAGAGGTCTCAGCCTGTAGTTGGCTGGCTTCCAGGCAGGGTGGCACGGCGGAAGGGCCTGGCAGAGGAGGAGAATCGGCTCGTGGCATGGCGCCTGGAAGCAAGAGTGAGCAGTTGCAGGTGGAGGGGAGATGAACCCTTCTGGGCCAACCCCCAGTGACCCATGTCCTCCAACCAAGCTTCACCTCCAACATCACAGTTTAAACTGTCAGTGGACAAATCCAGTGATCCAGGCACCTCCCCAAAGCCCCACCTCTGCACCCATGAGGCTGTGGGTGGGGGCAGCTAGAGCAGGGGTGCAGGAGGAGGTGCACCGTGGGTGAGCAGGAGAACCCTGGTTTGTATCTCCTGCTGCTCACTGTGGCTCCCTTCACCCCAGGCCCAGTGTCCGTCCCATCCAATCTTGGGGCATTAGATTCTCACAGGGGCCTGGACCTTGCTGAGCCCACTGTGATCTGCACATAGCAGGGCGTTAGGTTCCATCCCATCCGTTTTGGGTCCATCCCAAAACCTGAGCCTCAGCGAAAGACTTTCGAAAAGGGAAAAGATGGCTTAGGTTTGGATTTCAACCCTTTTTCCATTTTTAAATATCTGTAACATTTAATGAAGCTGGGTGATTAGTTCACAAAATAAACAAAAGCTAACAATGCGTGTGAGTAGGTAAATTTCAAGGAAGATCAGTCTTTCTCCGTCTCTGTCCTCTCTCTGTCTGTCTCCCTTTCTTTCATGTTGGGGATGGAGCCCAAGGCCTCCACATGCTCAGCACCGACCCTGCCCCCCGCTGCACCCTGCCGCCCTGGGCATTTCTGTGGCACCGGTTCCCCACCTGGGTCGGGCTCTGTGGCGCGCATCCTGTGCCCGCCGCCAGTGCAGCGGGTGCCCCTGGAACAGCAGGGACACCAGCAGGCGTTGGTCTTGTGCTTGGTGGGAGGAGGCAGCAGTTCCTTCTGGGTCCTTGCTCCGAAGCTCATGGGGTGGGACCGGCTGCTGGCTGGGTCTGTGCTTTCAGTTACTCAGGTGCATTTCTTGCACTCATGCGGGGAGTGGAGTCTCAGCACGGACACTTCCCACAGCGTGTGTGCACATGGCTGTGTCTGAGTTCCAAGCAGGCCATCCTGGTGCCCTGCGGGCAGTGTCACCTCTCGCCACGATCTTGTCCCGGGGTTCAGCAGCACAGGGACTTAAGACCACAGAAAGTCACTGCCACTCAGTTCCGGATGCTGTGAGGCAGGGCTGTTTCATTACCGGGGATCAGGTGTGGGCAGGGTTGTGCTCTCCTGCCAGCTCCGGGAGAAGCTCCTGCCTCTTCCAGCTCCCAGGGTGCAGGTGTCCCTGCAGCCTCTGTCACTGTCACCACGCGTCCTCCTCTGTGTGCTGTGTCTCCTCCTCTGTCTCTTGAAGGACCTTTGTCACTGGGTGGAGGGCCCAGCTGGGTAATCAGGATGAGTTTATCTCTGCTCCGTCACACCTGGAGACCCTGTGTCCATGTCAGGCCCCAGTAGCTTCCGGGGTTGGGACTTGGCCATGTCATTCCTGGGGGACACAGTGTGACCCACAGCCACCCCAAGGCATCCCTGGATCTGCAGTTGGGGCTTTGGACCATGCAGTTTTATCTCAGAGTCTGTTATTTCTTGCCTTTTTGGTCTTGTGCAGATTCGAGACCCAGAGACACTGCTCCCCATGCCGGGGGTGATGGTCGGTGACATGGGGCGGAAGCTTGGGCAGAACGGCCTGGACAATGGGTGAGTGTCGCGGTGGGTCTGGTGTCCTCCCCGAACCCTCGCTTGGTATCGGCACTGAGATTCCTCCAGGTTCCAGGCTGGGGCTCCCGTCTGCGACCTCCCCAGGCCATGTGTGCTCTGACGTGGTGGGGTGCCCCAGCCTCTGTGTGTGCCATGCCCGTGTCCTGTGTGCTCCCATCCCCAGGGTGCCCATCTCCGTGCCATTCTCTCTGGACCGCTCGCCATAGGCGGTGCCCATTCTCAGGCCAGGCCAGCCCACGCCTGCCTCCTCCTGCGTGGGGCCTCAGCCCGGTGGGCACTGGGCTGGGAATGCTGGGTCCCTGGGGCTCAGTGCAGGCACCGTTGTGTTTCTGGTCTGGGCTTGCTCCTGCCAACAGCTTAGTGTCTGAGCCTGGAGGCCAGGGTCCCGCTGGTCTCCCCCTTCTAGCAGCGCGGTGGTGGGAGTTGGCGGAGCACAAGCTGTGCACAAGCTGCAGGGAGCGGGTCTGGTGCAGCAGGGACAGAGCACAGCCCGGGTCTGGGGGCCTCAAGAGTGCTGGCAGCCAGGCTGAGGCCACCGGCTAGGAACAGTGTCCGGCTGGCCATTGTGGGGACAACACGGGTGAGGCCCCGCCTGGAGCAGGACAGCTCCTGAGGTGCGCCAGGCCTTTCTGAGGGGTGGGTTACAGAGTCAGCACAGGAACTGCTTGAGCTTCAGGATCAGGACCCCACCTGGGCTACTTCTCACTGGCCCTTCCTCTGTGGCATGGCCTGATGACAGTGGTCCCCACGGTGCCCTGGGCAGAGGCCCATGCTGACCGGTAGGCAGAGGATAGTGCCTGTGGTCGGCCACAGGGTCCCAAGGCCCCCTAGAGAAATGTCCTTCTGTCTGTCTCTTGCCGGAAGGCAGGTGTGGGGCTGGGGGAGGTCTTGCCTCTGCCCAGACTTGGCAGCAGGGGAGCTGCAGAGGGTGGCGACAGCCCGGAAGAGAGGCGGGGACCTGGGGAGCCGCACGGTTGCCGCACAAGTGCTGAGCTCTGGGCGCTGCCTGTGGCCAGCACGGTGCCCTCCCTGGCCGCAGGTCCATTGGCACCAGGATTACTGCTCATTTGGCTTGAGAATCCTCTGCTTTGTTTTGGGAGCATGGGAGAGCCCTGTTCCCAGTCTCCCAGGAAGCTTCTGGTCCAGGGAATGCACTTGTGCTCTAGGGGCTGACCTGGAAGGACACTGAGTCGAGCCCTGCCATTGAGTCTGGGTGGAGAAGGTGCCGTGAAGCTCAAGACCCCGGCCTCCTCGAGCCTCAGTGCGTGTTACAAGCTCAGCTCCACCTGGTCACCAAGTAGCTCAGGGACCCAGCACAGCAGCCCGGAGGTGCCGCCCTGGGCGAGGTAGAGCCTGCTGGTGGCCTGCAGGTTGTACTCTCAGCCAGCAGAGGGTGCTGGGCTCTGGCACAAAACCGTGGGATTCCCCTGCTACTCCGTTGGTTTGCGTGGCAGGATTATAATTCAGCGGGGTTTTTAAAAACTGATGTCAAGACCTTTAATATGAAAAAAGCGGTAGTGCATGCCCTGTCCAGCAGGCCACCCACCTCCAGTATGTATGCTGTGTCCTAACCCAGGAGGCTTCCACGGTTTTGTGAAAGATGTTCTTGACACCATTTGTGTGACCTCAGTCATCCCATGAGTTGCTGTGGGAACCATTGATATTTTTAAGTCTGTTGTTGGTGGTTTTTTGCAGTTATGTAATAACCATTATTTTGCTTAATCTCGTTTCTAAACTATTGTGAAATAAGTAGGTTTGCCCGACCTGACGACCTTACAAATATCTCCAAATATTCATGCGTAATATTTGGAGCAGGGAAACCACAGTGCAGATTCGTTTGTTTCACTTAAGTGCTTAAAACTTTGTTCTGCTGCTGCACCTGGCCGGGCCTTGGGCCTGGTCTGAGGGAGCTGTGGGAGACACGTGGGGTGCAGGCCCACCTGTGCACGGTGACCTCTGCCCGGCGCCCCCTGTGATGTTCTTGGGTCTCGGGCTGTGTCACCTTCAGGCCCGGGCAGAGGAGAAAAACCGGGGAGGCTCCAGTGACAGCCCTGCCCTCTGTCCCACAGTTTCGCCATGTTCCACAAGGTAAGGATTCCCCGCCAGGACCTCCTGAACCGGGCCGGGGACGTCACCCCCCAGGGCGCCTACGTCAGTGCCGTGAAGGTAGGGCAGTTCTGCCGGGAGTCCGTGACCCAGCACACGTGTGTCGGTGCGGTTTGCGGTGCCCCGGCCCTGGGAGGACGGGGAGCCACCCTCATCTTCAGTCTGGCCACTCTGTCACCGCTCCTTTCCCCCAGGATGCCAGGCAGCGCGCCGGGGTGGCCCTGGGCAGCCTGTCCTCGGGGCGCGTCTTCATCACGGGCATGTGTGTGGTGAACCTGCAGCAGGCCGTGTGCATTGCACTCCGCTTCTCAGCCACGCGGCGCCAGTTCGGCCCCACAGAGGAGGAGGAGGTCCCGGTGCTGGAGTACCAGGTGCAGGTGCGGCGGCTCGGGGGTCTCTGCTTCCTTCGGTTCTGCGTGCACGAGCTCCCCCTTTGGGGAGGGGAGATCAGCTCCTGGGAGTTGGGGCAGGCAGAGGCGGGGCAACACCACTGCCCAGGTATCCAGGCGGCCGGGCACTTTGCGGGGCACTGGGCCACCAGACAGGGACTCGGGTCAGGGTTCTGTAGGTAAATCGGCCCCATCCTGGGCGGTGCTGAGCAGCACGGTGAAGCTGACGATGGCTCAGGCATGGGGCAGAGTTGTAAGTGTCCCTGGAACATCCCTCACCGTGCCGGCAACCCGTGCTAATGAGGAGGAAAGAGGGCAGAAAGCGTCCTGTTCACACCCACACAGCCTGCAGCCCCACGACTGTCCTGTGGCCCCAGACCCCAGGGAAGCGCAGTGCTATGGCGGCTACGCCCTGGGCCCCCCGGCTGGCTGCGTGCCCTGGGTGAGGTGTGGCCTCCCTGTGCTCGAGCTCTCACTGGGCATCGGGCCCAGCTGTGCCTCCACAGAGCACAGATGGGCTGGTGGGACAGGGACACGGCTGGCACAGGGACGGGTCCCTCCAGCCTTCACTCCTTCCATCCCTCCGGCAGTGTTGTGTCCTGCCCATGTCAGGGGCTGGGTGTGCACAGGGGATGGGCACTTGCTGCACCCTGAGGACCTCCTAGGTCTAGCTGCCTCAGCCTCCCCACCCGCCTTAGGGACCGATTGCTGCACCTACACGGCATGGAGGGAGGAGAGACAGAGGGTGGGGCCCCGCCGTGTCCTAGCAGTCCCTGTTCCTGGTACACAGCAGCCTGACCCGGGTCCCTGTGTCGTGGGAGGGGTGGGTAACCCAGGCTTCCGTGTCTCTTCCAGCAATGGCGCCTGCTCCCGTACCTGGCGGCAGCCTATGCCCTGGACCACTTGTCCAAGTCACTGTTGCTGGACCTGGCGGGACTGTATCAAGGCCGGCTCAGAGGGGACCACGGGGCCCGGCAGGTGAGGCCTCCACGGTGCATTGCTGAGCCGTGACTCCCAGGGCGGCAGTGGGTGGGGTGGGGCCTGGGCCTGTTCGGAAGGGCTGACAGACCGCCCCTTCCCGTCCTCCTCGGAGAATTTGATGGCTCTGCAGAATCCATGGCGCCAGCCCGCGGTGGGTTTCGTGGTCCTGATCCTTCCATAAACAGCACACAAAGGTCGGCATCCTGCTGACTGCACAGCCGAGGGTGCAGATCCATCCCGACCTCAGCCCCTGGGGTGCATTTCTTTGTCTCCACTTTCCCAGCTGGATTTTTGGCAGCCTCCTGGGTTTGCCCTAGTGGGAGTAAAATGTGAATCCAAACAAAAGGGTTTGAAAGTCGACTAGACAGGCTGCGGCCCGTCTACGGGTGCCACCCAAACGCTGGGCACAGCGGCACAGTCCACCGGGAGACAGGGCTGCCTCCTCAGCTAACGGAGCCACTGTGGGGCCGCTGGGGCCGGAGCGAGGGGTACACACGCTGCCCCCGCCTTGCCATTGCTCTCCTGGAAAGGCACAGAGGCAGCTCAGTTTGCTCTAAAATTCAGCATTTGGCCCAGCCAGGCTTCAGAGGATACCAGAGTAGCTCCCGACTGGACTAGGAAACACCGAACGGGCCGCTTTATTTAGCAGTCATGAGTCTCTTCCTCTAAATTTTGTGCCTCAAGCAGAAGCCAAAGGACACTTAGCAAGCATGAGGGCACAAGAAAGTGGGGAGGGGGAGCGCACCCCAGCAGCCCGGCCCAGCGGATGGTCGCAGTGACTACCAACTCACCTGCGCCGAAGTCTCGCACCTCGTGCATTTGTGGATGAATTCCCTACCTGCTTTGACCTAAAATCGAGACTCCTTTTCCTTCAAGTGGGGCCATCTCAGGTTAAACATGAAAGGACACAGTCCGTGAGTGCCAGCACTGTCTGGAGTCTCCCTTCACTCTCCTCCCCGGTTCCTGCCACAGGCAGAACTCAGCCGCGAGATCCACGCCCTGGCAGCTGCCGCCAAACCCCTGGTCTCGTGGACGGCGCAGCAAGGAATCCAGGAGTGCCGTGAAGCGTGCGGCGGGCACGGCTATCTGGCAGGTAGGCGTGGGAAAGCGCTTGGCAGTTTCTTCCCGTCTTAGCCACCACAGTGACACTTGGCCAGGGCACAGCAAGCAGCCTGCAGGCCGTCCCAGCCCCTGCCTGTTTCTGTAAATAAAGGTTTATTGGAACACAGCTGCCCACTTTCCTGCTCAGATGCGACCTGTGTGTGCCTAGGTTGGCGGTGCAGACCTCGGTGGAGGTCGGGCCCAGCTTGTGGGAGGAGGGTGAGGAGTTGCGGGCTGCAGGAGCTCGCTCTCTGGCCCATGTGACATCCTGGCTCTGTTTCAGTGAACCGACTGGGTGACCTCAGAAATGACAATGACCCAAACTGCACATACGAGGGCGACAACAATGTCCTGCTGAATCAGACCAGCAGCTACTTGCTGAGTTTCCTGGAGCGTGGGGTACAAGGTAAACCTGGTACCCACCAGTGGGGGTGCTGGGCTCTCCCTCCTGGCGCTGCTGATTGAGCTGGGGTGGTAGATCCATAAGACGTGCCCTGTGATGCGGGAGGAGGCAGAGAGTCCCAGAGTGACCCAGCTGGTCCCTGGTGCTGGGCAAGTGGGGCCCTGGCCAGTGGGCTCCTTGCCTCTCCTCAAAGTCACTGGCTTGCGTGTCCTAGGTGGAGCTCACTTCCAAAGCCCACTGCGCACCGTGGACTTCCTGGAGGCCTACCCCGGCATGCTTGGCCAGAAGTTCAAGGGTACCAGCGTGACCGACTGGCTGGACCCCACAGGTGTGTCACCTCCCCAGGGTGAACATGGGTGTTTCTCGGTCCCCCCATACCCTCTAGCTGTGCCTTCTGTCTCCGGTAAGTGCAGAAGGTGTCAGAGGCCCTGTGATGACGACTGCCCTCCCTTTGTCCTGTGAAGCTCCCCTGGCAGCATACAGGTGGCTGGTTTGCTACCTGCTCCAAAGGAGTCACCAGAAAGTCGCGCAGGAGAAAAGATCAGGACGCAGAGACTTTGAAGCAAAGAACAACAGCCAGGTGCATGTCTGTTTTAATGGTCGCTGTTCGCTGTGCTCTGGATCCATCCAGTGTTGGGTCCCCAGGAGTCTGACGTTAGGGGCTGCCTTCCCAGCCACGGGCTCAGTCTCCTTGCTGGACCTCCGGGCCCCTGTTTGCTGCTCTGAAGCGGGCACCGGAGCGGGCACCGGTCCCTGCCTGGCCAGCTGGGTGTGGAGGAGCCACAGAAGGCCTGCGGTGGGGAGCTGTGCTTACTGGAGCTGGGGTGTGGGGCTGAGAGTGTGAGGTCCCATCCACAGTGGGTGGTGACTCCTCCTGGACCCCCAGCTCCTTCAGACAGGCAAGGGCTCCCAGGGCTCACACCTCGCTCAGTGCACAGCTCTGAAGAGTCACCTCCTCGTCGGGGGTGGAGGTGTGCCAGGGCGGCTTGTGACTGACAGGAAGCCGTATGCTGCACGGTTCCCAGGAACCTGGGCACAGAGGCACCTGCTGTGAACACCTCGTCACACCTGGCCATGCCCTGGGCTCCATGGTGACAGGCGGCCTGGACGGGGAAGCGGGCATTTGCAGGGTGGCTGTGGTGTCAGGAAACAGGCCCTGTGCCACTCTTCCTACTGAAGCCGTCCCTGGGACCCAGGTTCATGTCTCCTATGTCCTGTGAGGACCCAGGAACCTCCCCGGAGGAGGAGACCAAGGTGGTCAGACTGGCTATGGTTTTAAAGCCTCCTGCAGGGCCCACCTACAGCAAAATCAAATGTACGGCCTTAAAAAGAAATGGATTCAGCAGGTGGCAAGGGTCAATGAGCTTTTGGTCCAGAGCCACAGTGGCCCAGAATAGGAGGCCTGTGGTGACTCCTGTGGGTCGGGCCTCTCTGCACCACTGGGCTGGAGCATGGCCCGTGTCAGCTTCCTCTGCTGGTGGTCACTTGGTCACTCTGAAATGGAAATGGTGGTCGATCTGCCCAAGTTCCCAAGATCCCAAGATCTCGAGGATGGAGGGCCAATGGGTGAACAGTCCCAGCACCACTCAGGGCCTCAGAACTGCCCGCAAGCCCGTGCAGACCCTGTGCTGACCCGCTGCAGCGCGTGGCCAGCAGTCGAGCACTTGTCCCTGTGGGTGTGCAGTAAGATCTCTGTGGCAGCATTTCAGAGGACAAGAGGGCTGGGCTCTGGGCACAGCTGCCGTGGGTCTCTGGGGACAGTGGGCAGTAGCCGCACAGGGGCAGAGCCACAGCCCAGCAGCAGTGGGAGCTTCGGGAGGAGGAGAGGACTGTGTGCTGCCGACCAAAGTGGGGCTTTGCTGATGGCTGAGAGCTGCAGGGCACCGGGCTGGACTCTGGGGTCGCAGAAGACAAGATCAGGCCCAAAAGGTGGTGGGAACGGCAGTGCAGCAGGGAAGCGAGCCTCAGTGGATGTCTGCATTGCCTCAGTGTGGGGTGAGCCTCCTCAGATGGGAGATTCAAGAGCTGCAGAAGGAGAGGCAGCCATCAGGTTTCACTGTGTAGAAAGAAGCTAGCGATTCTGAGGAGCACAGGTACTGTCCAGAGTCAGGCTTCCTCTGGCCAGGGGAGCGCACGGAGCACACGGACCAGCACAGACCATCCCGGCGGGAAAGCTCACCCCAAAATCAGCACCAGCTGACTCAGGGCAGGAACCAGAACCAGGGATGAGCAGGCCAAGCCCCATGGCTCTGGGCTGGGGTTGGGGTTCCGGAGGAGGAGGCTGGGCTTGTTGACCAATGTGGAGGGGAAGGGGACAGGCTCATTGCTGCACAGCGATGGCCGACCCTTAGCTGTGTCACAGCCGGAGCTGGGGATCCTGGCATGAAGTGACTTGGGAGATGGCTCCGGAGTGGCCCGGCCCCACCATCCCTGTCTGTGACTGGTGCAGCTTTGGGGCCAGCAGTGGGCCCAGACCAGTGCCCCTCGGCCTGAGGGTACAGCTGTGCCCCTGGGAAGTTCTCACGGAAGAGTTGGCACCATGTGAGTGCTCTGAGTACCTGCTCCGTCCACTTGATCTGATCACAAAGGCAGATATGCCCAGGGCATCCACCCCGAGGACACAGGGAGCCCTGTGCATGCTGAATCCCGGGAAGGAGTCACAGCCCGACAGCCCAGGTGGGAGGATGGGTCACTGAGTCCTGCGCTGCTGCTGCTGCAGGTGCTCAGGTGCGGGGATGAGGGTCCGGCACGGGTGCACAGCTACAAAGGTGAGCTCTGCGTCCTGGCCCTGCCTTCAGCAGTGGCCACCAGCTACTGTATCCACGGCCAGACCCCTGGCTGGGGGTGGGTCTCGGGGCAGCAGGTTACCGGAAGTGTCACTTCCCTGAAGATGAGAAGAAACAGCACTGCTTTGGTGCTGGGAAGTCGTGGCTGAGAGGCAGAGGGTCAGAGTGCAAATGAGCCTGGTCTGTTTTCGAGCCTGGACGTTCTGGCTGGTCCTCACCTCTGGCCCACAGGGAACCCTCGGAGGATTGGGGCTCACAGCACATGCGCACCTGGGTGTGGGTGGGACTCAGCATCCCCGCACTCATTGAGATGGGCCAGCTTGCCAGGGCTCCACATTGTCCCTCAGGTCACCCGCTGGGCAGTGAGAGACATGTGCCCTGCGCTGGAGACTGTACAGCCTGATTGCTGGGGCTGCATCACCAGCCAGGGCACATGGGCACCTGGGCCCTGGCCCGCCCCGCCCTCAGCGCAGCCCTGGCGATCTGGGCACTGGTCCTCCCTGGGTCGGCAGCACAGTCCCTGCCTCCCAGCCCTGCCGGCGCCCGTGAGCACAAACGGTGTGGAGGCAGCAGGGGCAGCACACGGGCACTCTGACACCTCCAGGTGGCCTGCTCTGTGCTGTGTGTGGCCCCAGTGTCTGGGGACCAGTTGAGCTGGCGCAAAGTGGGGGAGAAAGCATCTCCACATTTGTGTTCTCTGAGGGGCTCCAGCAGAACGGCAGCCTTCAATTCAAGACCCTGCACTTAGGTGCTGGAGCAGAACGAAAAGCAAACTGGGAATAGCTGGGACCAAGACTTCCGTGATGGCTCCAACCTCCACTTAGCCATCCACCCTGCTGCTCTGTCTTGGGAGAAGCAGCTTCTCTAGGAGCTGTCGGGGAGGCACGTGGCTGTGCCCAAAAGGAGCAGAAGCTGCTGCCTCTCTGAGTCAGCCTGTCCTTGTCCGTGTCCTCCAGGGCCCTCCCTGCTGCAGGAGGCGACAGGCCCTGCGCCCAGTGACCACCTGTGCCCCACTGATGTGCACCCTCTCCTCAGTGACAGTGGCCGTCCTGAGCTCACTTGGGGCCCTGTGCAGTGACTGCTGTGCCGTGTGGCTTCCACAGGGGACCAGGGCAGGGTGCTGTGGCGGGGAGTGTACAATGCTAGACCCTCCCTGGGCTCCACCTCGGCACCTTCTGCTGCCTGTGCTGCAGCCTCACGCTGCTGTGCTCTGGCCCGCAGGTCTACCACATGCGGACCCTGGCCCTGGGCTTCATGGAGCTGACGGCGGTACAGAGGTTTCACGAGCGCACACACAGCCCCGAGGTGCCTCCCTCGCTGCAGGCCGTGCTCAGCCGGCTCAGCCTGCTCTATGCCCTGTGGTCCCTGAGCAGGCACATGACTCTGCTCTACCAAGGTGAGGCTGCTGCCCTGTGCACTGCCCGGGCACCCGTACTGGCCACTCCGTGGAGAGGAGAGGAGGGCTGGAGCAGTAGGCAGGACAGCAGAGGGGGTGGCGCGGGGCCAGAGGGGCATTGGGATGCACTGGGGGGTACACCTGTCCCTGCGTGCAGGGTCCCCTCATTCCCCTGGCAGCAGGCACAAGCAGACACGCACCAGGGTGCCAGGGCAGACCTGCGGGGAGTCGGAACCGCAGCGCCTTCCTGGGGGTCGGCTTGGGGAGCAGACAGTGAACCGGAGTTCAGAAGCAGTGAGACCCCCTTGGTGATGCTGCCCTGGAAGGATGCATGGGGAGGCCCGAGGGTGTTGGGCAGAGGGGAGCCAGCAAGGCAGGACAGCTTAGTCGGAGTTCAGACGCCTGGGCCGTGTTCCCGTCCCCAGAAGTCATCACCAAAGTCATTTCCGCCACGACACATTCCCAGCACCCAAGCTGCTGCCCAGCCTGGCGGGACCTGTGGGACACTGGGAAGGATGTCTCCCAGCCGGGGCCCTGCTGGTTTTGGAGGCCTACAGACCTGCCTGCCGCGCACTGCCCCCTGCAGCAGGACCAGGTGCTCCCTGCAGCCACCTTGGACTTCCTACCTGTCCACGCTACTTCATCCCTGCTCTGTCAGGAACCAGCCTGGCAGCCCACTGCCTCCCCCAGCTCTCAGGACTTGGCCCCTCTCCTGTCAGACCTGGGCCAGGTTCTGTGTCCCCAGCCCCTGGCCTATGACCTGCCGGTACACACTCGGAGAACCCAGTGGGACAAGGACCTCAGAACCAGCCTGAACCAGGAAGTTCTATCCCAGGGTCCCAGCCAGGCCAGGGCAGGTGGCAAGGGCCCTTGACATCTCCACCCGGTCCAGACTTTGCAGGCTAACTGAAGATTCAGTGAGGGGTGCTTTGGATGGTGCAGGCCAGACCCCCTTATGACGCAGCTGTGTTTGCAGGGGGCTACCTCTCTGGCAAGCAGGCAGGTGAGGCCCTGGAGGACGCCATCCTGGACCTGTGTGCCCAGGTGAGTGCCCACCCCCTGTCCTGTGCTGCCATGGCTGCCGTTCAGTACTGCTCCCTCTCAGGAGGCAGCTTCCATCGCTGCCACAGGATCCCTGGGAGAATCATCCTGAAGCAGGATGGGGGACCTGTGGCTCACAGCTTCAGAGGCTTCAGTCCAAGATCCTAAGGGGCCTCCTGCTGCGTGGTGCTTGCTGGGCTGTGAATGCTTTCTTTGTCCTGTGCCCCAGACACAGGTGCCAGTCAGGCAGTGCTGACTAACCAGCTCGCCCATCCCTTGTGCCAGCATCCCTACCTTGCTGGAAATCAGCCAGAGACCTCAAGGGGACAGCACAGTGGGGATGTGCACACACCCCCGGACCTGACCCAGGCCCGCAGAGGTGACGCCAGGTCACCCAGCTCCCTGTGCTGGCTCGGGTTTCTGTGGCTGCCAGTTGGCCGTAGCAACCAGCAGTCAGGCTGTGTTACTCAGTGGTCTCCATGGAAACCTCAGCCACGGCCAAGTGTGTGGACTTTGTTTTCCAACAGCTAAAAGATGACGCAGTGTCCCTGGTGGACGTGATCGCCCCTCCCGACTTTGTTCTGAACTCCCCGATTGGCAGAGCCGACGGCGAGGTGAGGGCCCCAGGTGGCTCCGTGGGTCAGGAGCTTCCGGGGAAGCAGGGAGACGTTGGGGACACCTGCTCTCCTGGACCAGCCTGAGGTCTCGGGCGCCCATCCCCAGTGCCTCTTCCTTCAGATCCTGGCCAGCTTGGCCCTGCTGTTCAGGTCTTCACCCTCCCCGACCTCGAACCCCCCACCCGTACACACTCTTGGAGACACTGCCCCTTCCCTGCACACCCATGCACTCCACAAGCCCCCGTGCACTCCCTGACCTCTCACCCTCAGGGGCCAGAATGGTTCAAGGGACAGGGGGCTCAGGCTGCTCCGAGTGGAGCCCTCTGACAGTACCCTGTACCCTCAGAGCCAACTTTCCGGGGTACTCCAGCCCTCCATCTGAGCCCCATGGGTTCTCCAGCTCCCTCTCATACCAGTCTCCAATTCCCCCATCCTTCAGCCACACTGCTCCCTCATTCTCCTCATGCCTTGGGCTCATCCCCACCCCAGGACCTTTGCACCCAATGTCCCACTTCCCAGTACGCAGGCACCCTCACAGGCTACCAGGTGCTGTCCAGCACCCACAGGGTCTCTGTGCCCCCTCACTGTTGGACATGACATGTCCGTGTGTCCAGGTCACATCGTGAGATCTTGCTTACAGCTGTGTACTATGGACAGGATTTGGCTCTACCCCCAGCCGTGTGTCTTCCGAGGCCATGCCCCTACCGTGGGCCTGCCAACGTGGAGGCTACACATAAGTGACAGGAAGTGGCACCTCGCAAGCCCACCCAGGTTGTCAGTGGCAGGTGCCTGGGCTGAGCACAGTTCCGGTGCAGCTGAGCTGGGGAGGCCCGGTGGGGTCTGATCTGGATGCAGAGGCAGCATCCGGAGCAGGGGCCGGGGTCCCACTGTCCGGGGTCCTGGACCTGCTCCTGGGTCCCCATGCTGTGTGACCATGTCTGCTTTGCTGATGAGAAGCAGGTGCCCGGGGCTGCCCAGCCAGCAGCTGCCCTGTAGACAGGAGAGCAGAGGGTGCGAGCTCGGGGTGGCCTGTGCAGCAGCAGCTACGCCAGGCCTGGGTGTCTGAGCTCTGCGCCGCTGTGTGGGTGGGGTGCCCAGCTATGCCTTCTGGCTCCGGGCACTGCAGTGAAAAGTGTACCGGCCAGAGGCGTCATCTGCAGTGTGGCTTAAACACGTGCCTTCCTCCTGGTGCTGAGAAGGCAACGTCTACACCAAGCGCTGCAGCTGAGAACTCTCTTTGGAGAGCTGAGTGTCTGCGCCGGCCAGGTCCAGAGCGCCACCTTCCGCACGGAGCGGCAGGAAAGTTCTCGGGATGTTTCCCATCGTAAATGCATTTTATGGTGCTTGATAATCACACTTGCCTGATGCTTCCTACTAAGAGAAAGTTTGTATAAATTAAACTTAAATCATCTTAACATTTTCCTAACAAGCGACGGCAGGGAATCTCCTGTCTCGCTAAGCACAGGCACATCTGCCGCCCCGCGAGGGTCTCTAGCTGCAAAGTCCTCCTCCCTGTCCCTGTGCTTTGTTTCCCACAGCTCTACAAGAACCTGTGGGGCGCAGTGCTGCAGGGGACTGGCGCGCTGGAGCGGGCGGCCTGGTGGCAGGAGTTCTCCATGCACCGGCCCGTGCTGGGCAGCCTGAAGGCCAAGCTGTAGGCATCTGGACCCCGAGCCATCCGTCTGCACTACGGCCTCCGTGCACAGGCACAAGCTGGGGTCCTGAAGTTCTGCTGTAGGGCGGGGAGCCCGCGGGATCTCACCTGCCTGGTAAATGCCGGGCTTTACTGACTGCGATTTTCTCAGGCACAGATAGATACCAAGTGTGAAGTAAACTGTTCATAATCACAGCTTTTCTGGCCCAATGATCTTGTGACTTCGTCTGAGATTTTTTTCACACAACTCGGCTTCACCGAGAAGTTACTCGTGGTACCCTGTTGACTCTGGTATGACTTTGTCACATGGTCTGTTCTATTAGGACCTGGTTAGTTTGTGCTGTGGACCATCTGAATGACATAGTTTAAGGCTTTTTAAGGAAAGAAGTTTTATTACTTTCTTTTGTGGAACGAGAAGTTTCCAGAGAAACGATTCCAAACCAGAAATGATCTGAGCATCCGGGCAGTTTGGCTGCTTGTGCCCCCGTGTGCACACCGTTCTGTGTGTGGTGTTAGTCCATTTGTCCCTAGAGCAGGTGGCACACACGGTGCCGCTTGTCCTGGGCATGCGCCAGCAAACCCACGTGCCCAGCATGCCCTGCAGTGCCAGCCATGGTGTAAATGAACTTGGTGCCTTTTAAGGGATCATAATCCACTAGCCCTTCTTTCTTTTTTTCGGTACTGGGGATCGAACTCAGGACCTTGCACTTGCAAGGCAGAAGCAGTGCCACTGAGCTACATCCCTGGCCCAAGCCCATCTCTTCCCGCTGTCCGAGAGAATAGGAATGAAAGTTCCAGACTCAACGTGGGATGGTTTGGTGCAGACCACACAGTATGTGGCAGGGCTGCGGATGCCCGAGGGGAAGCTCCTCCAGCTGCCACGCCTCAGGGCCCTGGGGTCAGCCGCCTGCCTGAGGCTACCAGCCCAAGGGGCGGCTCCTTCATCGCAGCCTGGTATACTGTCTGGGCAGAGCCGGGTGCAGGCAGCACAGCCAGCCTGTAACAGCTGCCTGTGACTTCCAGGGCTGAGACCCCACCCTAGCCGCTGCCCACAGGCCCCCTGCCCAGCCCACTCAGCCCCAGTTCCAGGTGGGCTGGAGCAGGCTAAGGTGTGGAGGTGACTTTAGAGAAATTCCATTCTGAGTCAAGATCATTTAAAAAATAAAGCACCAAGAGTTCAATCTGCTTTCTGTCACTTTTTCTGCTCTTATCATGCACTACTTTGGCGACAAAGAAAAGTTTGTAGAGGAAAATAAATGGCACCGGCAGCCCCACCCTTGGAAGTAACCCCTGGTTAATTTCGTTCATCTGTGCTGAGCCATGGGGCCGCAGAAGTAGGGTCACTGTGACCCTTGGTTCCTGCTGGGTTCCCTCCGTCCAGCCCTGAGGCCTGAGCAGTGACGGTGACCTGTGCTGCCACCTGGTCCATCACCAGCCCCGGGTGGCGTCCGCTCTCCAGCAGGCAGCGTGTGAGCTCCACCGTCCCCGCGTGCAGCTTCTCAGAGGAAGGAAGTGGGGTCTCCCGCTCTGAGCGAGTGGGACTTCTGGTACCACCTTCCTCCACGATGGGACACAGGCATGAGAGACAGGACAGTGCCCGAGCAGGCCCTGCCGTGCGCCACTGCGGGGTGCGTGACGCCCTGTATCGGGTGTGAGCTTTAGTGTGGTTCATCCACGACATCCACAGACTGGGGCCTGGCACGCAAGCGATGCTGGGCGATCCCCGGTACAGCTGCCACTCAGAGGCAGTCGCACGTGCGCCCTCGGGTTGAGGTTCTGCCCGCGGCAGTCTCCCCATCACTTCCACCGCTGCCAGCCGTGCTTTTCTTGCTCCCTCCCAAGGCTGAGCCCCTCTCACCTTGCGTGTGCTCTCTGCAGAAAGGCCGGGTTTAGTTTTCCAATTTTTAAGATGTATAACATATTTTTGCCTATTAGGAGTAGTAAACCTTCACCAGACGTGGTGCACTCCTCTAATCCCAGCTTTGGGAAGGTTAAGGCAGGAGGATGGCTGTGACTTCGAGACCAGCCTGGGATACACAGCAAGACCCTATTGAAAAGAAAGAGTAGTAAACCTTCGACGTACCCTTTGTAAATTATTTTTCTCCGTCTGTTATTTGCCTTCTAATTGTATTCATTTTTTTCTTTTTGGCTTAACCCAGGAAAGAGTAAAGCTTTTAAATCAGAAATCTGTATCTGAAGACATATCCGCCCCAGCCTTTGAGGTTGTGCCTGGAAACTCTTCTCTGACACTAAGATCATTCCCATGTTCACCACATTCCTTTAAGCGCATTTCGGCATCGGCTGGCTGAGGGATTTATGCTGTGGCTTTGGGGTCTCAAATGGTCAGAACTGGGAGTAACGCATCAGCCTGAAACCAGGTCAGATACGTTCTAGGCTGTGTTTGTAGGCTGTGTTCTGTGTGTTCTAGGCTGTGTTTCTAGGCTGTGTTCTGTGCGTTCTAGGCTGTGTTTCTGCTCTTTTCTGTCGTGTCTCACATGCTCCTGGTGTTTTCACCACGGCAGTCACTGTACTTCTGATACCTGCAAATAAAGACCTTGACTCCCATCTCTTTCAAAAATTTCTTAGCTTTGCAAACTGTGGCGTTATTTTGTTAAGGCAGGGCATTCTCCTGCCTCCAAATCATGAAAAATTCTTTGGTACTTGTGTTTGAACATCATCTCTTACAGATGAAAACCAGGAGAGCCTGGTATCTTTATAATAGCTGTCTTTCCATTTAAGACTATTCAAGTTATTTTAATAAAAAGCTCTCTGGTTTTGCGTATTTACTTTGTTACTGGTTGTTTTATTAAAATCTCGTGTAATCGTTGTAGTCCTCGGTTGGTTCCCTCTGCTTTCCTTTTTGTGTCATTGGCAGGCGATGATGGTTCTGCTGAGGCGTTTGCACAAAGTATTGCCTGTTACTTAACTTCTTGTGAGTGGTATCTGCTGGGCCTGCCGGATTCTTCTCTGTGCTGGGGAGGATCTGGCTAGCGAGAGGACCCCAGCCAGCGGAGGTGCAGGGATGTGTGTTTCTGTGCCCTGCAGAGGGAAAGGCTGCAGGATGAGCAGCTTCTGGGCACCCACGAGGTGCAGGCCGCGGAGTGAGGAGGAGGAAAACCCAGCTTGACTCCACTCATGCGCAGCCCCTGCAGAGGGGCTGGCCTGGGTTGGGGCTCCCTGCCATCCATGGGGGTCATCAGTTCAGGGACTCTGGCTGGCTCCAGGGACGATCCACTACCCTTCCACGCGGGGCACGGACTGACCCCGGCCAGCTTCCCTCCCACCTGACTGCCCAGGAGCTGCCAGGATCCCCACGAAGCCCCCACCTTTCCTTTGGGTCCCGACTCCCATTCCAAAGAGCTCAAGCCAGGAGGCAGTGCAGTAGCAGCTGTTTGTTTTGCAAGAGAAAACGTGGATAATCTTACTGGGGCTGAGTGCATGGGGCAGGAAAATAAAACCCGAGATCAGGGTGCATGAAAACACTCCTGGGTGTTTGTTCTACGGGATGTTAATGTGGCTTACGAAATCCTGGACATCTCTTGAAATGTTTTATCTTTGCTCCAGAGCTAGGCTTAGAAAACAAAGTAAACTTAGGAACGTTTTCTTAGGAATGTTTTTCCTGCACCACCGTCCCAAGCAGCCCTGGTCCGTATCTTTCCCATCGTCTTCTAGCCGGTGTGTGGCCCTGTATGCAGCAGGCAGGGTGGCGGCCCTGGGCCCGGGCTCAGATCCCAGCCTGGCCACTGTCTGTGGGCACTAGGGCACCCTTCTGGGCTTCCTGCCTTAGGAAGGTGATCAGCTGCCAGCACCCCAGGGCCCCAAGGACCCACAGACAATAGGTGTGAAATTCCTAACACACCCCAGGCACAGGCCTCCCCTGGCCACTGAGCTGGGCCGCTGGCCCTGAAATGTGCCCCTCTGCACCTTGGGGCAGTTGCGGGGTGGCTCTCAGGACACAGGCCTAACTCTGGGCAGGAAGGTGGTGGGGAGGGGCCCCCCCGGGCCCAGAGGAAGACACCTAGGAAGATGCTGAGTAGAGAGGGTCCCCCACCCCCAGTGCGGCTGGTACTCTTGCGCACGTGCGTTCAGGGGGAGCTTCTTCCTCTGGCCTCCAGTGTGCCGTTTCTGCGGTGACCCCTTCCAAGATCTGGGAAGGTCCCAGGATGGCGCCACAGGGCTCAGGCTGAGCCGGCTTGGTCTCCACATGAGCCTCCTTCCACACCCGCCGTCTGGGTTTGGTGCCGCTGCCACCCTGCAGCTGGGCGCCCAGGCCCCTCTGTGCTTCCCTGGCTCTTCCCCACCACCCTGCCCAGCAGCCCTGAGATGCAGTGTCGGTGGCAGCAGAGCCATGGTGGCCATCAGTTCCCTACCCGGCTGTGAGGTCGGGGCTGGTCTGAGTCATTGCTCTCCAGCACCCAACCCGGGGCCAGATGCAGTGCCACACAGTGCCCAGCCAGCCCTGCAGGGAAGCGGGGTGTGGGGAGGAGATGGACAGGCCAGGATGGGTGGGTGGGTGACGGAGGAGCTGGCCAATGAGTGAAGGGAGGATGAAGTAACAAATCCATAAAGCAGTTATCTGGGAGCTGGCTAGCAGGGAGAGGTGCATTTTCATCCTGCAATATGGTGTCATTTAAACTATTTCAAACCAGCTTGAGAGGGGGAAAGCAAACACCACGGTTCCTTTCCAGACCTATTGCACAGACGCTACTTGCAGAGGTTCCCACTGGCCGGGCCATCGCAGGCTGTTTTAAGGCAGGCACTTCTGCTCCCACGCAGAGCAATGTGGGTAAAGCAACGGGTGCTCGCTCGGAGGACTTGGTGAGCAGGGGCGCCGGGGTCACCGGGAGCTCTGTTCTCCTGCTCCGTCCTGGCCTCTGGGGTGTGGCTTCATCCCCGCACAAGTGAGGCCAGCGTGGAAGGCTGATCCCTGGCAGGGACGCCCTTGCCTCTGCTCAAGGAGGGGAGGTGGCAAGAGGCTCTTCCTCCTGCCCTTCCCAGGGCAACGGCCACATGGGGTATTAGGGCTGCATTGTGATTCCCCAAATCCCTGCCTAGCCCTTGGTCCTGGGCACGTGGCCATACATGGGGACAGGGCCACAGAGACCTAAGCTCAGGGCCCAGGGAAGGTGTGGTTGGCCAGAAAAGTCCCACATGTGGGGGCATTGAACAGGGTGGAGACTTGAGTACTGCTGAGGTGGGAGGTGGGCGGGGGACCTGGGTTCTAGGCGGAGCCTGCACGGACAGCACCCAGGGCACAGAGGGAGCCCCGGTGCCTCTTCCCAGATGCGTCCACAGGACCAGGGCAGGTGGGGCTCCCCTGCCTGGACAGTCAAGTGGAGGTGCGAGGACCCACAGCCAGGCTGGGCACCCATGAGGAGCGGTGCTTGCCTTCTGTGGGATGCTCTGCGGGAAGCGCTTGTTTCCAGAAGGCTCCTTCTCTCCTGCTCCTTCTGGGGGTGCCAAGCCTTAATTCTGAGCCCAGCTGAAATGCACGGAGACTCCTGACGATTCTCCTGGGGTACTCGGGGTGGTGGGGTTTGAAGGTTCCCACCAGGGGCCGGGCCGTGGAGTGGGGCCGTGGAGTGGGGCACAAGAACTCAGGAGTCCACACCTCAGGCCCACGGAGAGTCTGAGTCCCCAGTTTGTGCACACCTGGCTGGGCTGCCCTGAATGTTTGCGCCAAGGACCAAGCCTAAGCCTAAGCCTGGCGTGGCCCTAACTCCGCTCCCCGTTCCTGGCCCTGGCCCTCCCTGAGCCCCACAGAAAGGGCCCGCAGTGGGAGGTGGATACCTGGGGCACAGCTGACCCTCATCTCCTCTCTCTGCAGCCATGGCAGTGATGATGACAGCTCCGGACGAGGCCCCACCCCAGTCCCAGGTGTCCTGCCGTCCACCCAGCCCGCCAGCAAGGGCCAGCAGCCGAGACAGCAGCCCGGCGGGGACAAGAAGAGTCCATTGTGGGCAGCGGGACACAGGCAACCTCCCGCCAGCTGCTGGCACGGGGCATGTCTGGGCTGTGCTCTCTATGGTCCTACGCGTGCCAGGCTGCAGGAGTGCTCAGTGGGGGACAATTCCTTTCCTGCTACTTTAGGACTGGTGTTTTCAGCAACGCCAAAGTGGTCTGCTTCCCTCAAGTGACCCCAGATCGGGATGATGGGAGGACAACGGGGCCGGGGAGAGAGGGCCGCGGCCCCATCGACTCCTCTGCTCCTGCCCTGCCCCACCCGCCCCCACTTACCCTCCAGCTGCCCCTGAGCCCACAGGGCACAGCCCCTCCACCCTGTCCCACTTCCTTCTCCCACTGCCCTCCATGAAGAAGCACAAACCCTTTTAGCCGCACACACTCCAGACTGGAGCCTGTCACGCAGCGAGCTGAGCACAGCCCCTCTTGGGCCCTGCCAGCCGCCCTTTGTTCCCGGAGCCACTCTTGGCAGAGCCTGGCTTTGCCTGCCCGGCCTTGCACACACACAAGCCCGGTGTGCAGTGGGTGCATTCCCGCTCGCCGCTCCACACTATGGTCTCGTGCACTGTGGGACCACGGCGTGGGACCCGTCCTTCTGCTGACCGTGTTGGGCTGTGTCCTCCTCAGGGACGTTTGGAGCACAGCATCTCTGACACTGTTCTGCAGGTGCTGCTGAGCGTGGTGCAGGTGTCCCTGGTCTTGGTGTGCCCATGTTGAGCAGACCCTGCCCAGAGGCCTCCGAGCCCCGCCTACCTCCCCCTCCCTGTGGGTCCTCGCTCCTAGGACCCCGGTATCTCATGACCCACCACTCACTGGGGCCATCCGTCCTGTTCCCTTGTCCTTTCTTAATACAGGGGAGAAATCTTGCTGTGATCTGTTTTCCCTCATGTCTGCTGCCACAGAGGTCTCCTCCTGACTGGCCATTAGTTTCTGGAACCCCCAGCTCTCCTGTTGTTGGGACCCTACACTCAACGTTTTCAGGAACCGACCTGGTTTGCGAGGGTTCAGTCCATGGCTGCTGGCTCCAAGACAAGAGCATCATGGGGAAGAGTGTGGGGAGCAAAGATACTGAAGCCAGAAGTAGAGCGGGGGACGGTGCCACAGAGGAAGGGACAGGGACATGCCTGAGGTCACACCACAGGGCCACCCTGACCCCCAGGAGTACGCTCCGCCAACCCCTGGGCAGCC